GAGAGAGAGAGAGAGAGCCCAACTCCATTACATAAGCTATGACGGCCAAACTTACTCAAGATCATGACTGCAATTGATAGCATATCCACACTTGTTCACAGCATAGTTCTCAAAATGACTACCAACCCAATACCACCTTCAATGATCTATGATTTCACAAATAGGTAATTGTCGATGACAATGTGGTTTGCAGTTATCAATTCAAGGAGAGTTTAAATCGTACAATATCCTGGAAATATCAAGATAGTGTATAAAATTAAATAGGCCCCTTGAACTTTCCTTTTTTCAAGAATGAGCGAAATTAGGCCTCTAAAACTCCTTGTAAACTTGAAACCTACTCTTCCTCTCACATGACCAAGACCTTCTCTCTAAACTTATTGAGACATCACCAATTGTGGTCTTCTGCCTCAACCTTTCCCTCTCTTTCTTTAAGGTGGAAAATACCTAGCATAATTGAAATGATTAAGAAGGCATAAAACTCAATGAGAAAAACTCTGAAAAGAATGTTTATTAAAAGAAAAGTTCAAAGACTGAATTTTGTTAAAGGCTGAGAAGCAGGGGGGCTTTTGGGTTTCAATGTTCAAAAGTCGATAAGCTTACAAAAGTAATTCAGTAAACATATTTGAATTCTCTCTCTAAAATTCAAACTTTTAAGCGCTCTAGTCTCTAGAGTGAAATACCCTTGCACTCTGTTTAGAAAACTGAATGCTGTTACCCCTTCTACTGTCCTTTTGAACTCAATTTAGGCACACACACATACACCTATACACAACCAACATATCCGCTTACACTTACACTGAGAGGGGGGGAGATCTCAAACATGAGCTCCTTTTATAAACGATAAGGAAGATGAAATCTTAATCAAAAGGAAGGAACTCACCTGGCTTCAAAGAGATCGACTTGGACAAGAAGGGCCAAAGGAAGAATCCATGCATCTTCCTTCATATAGATAAACCATGGAAGACAACCCCCCCAACTTCTCCATGACTTTCCTCATGGCTGTCAGAAAGAAGATGAGTCCTTTCCCATCATACCGTACCTGAGCATGATACAGGACAATGTGGTGAGAAACATCGACTCTCCAGAACTTCTTTCAACTCAAAATTCCTTCTCAAACCTAACATGACCTCCAAATTCCACCACCTTATCCGACCTCTTGAGAACATGTTTCAAAGAAAGGTACCTTTCAGAGAATAGTGGAATCATGTGCAAATAAGACAGAGTTTATGCTTGGCAAGCTCATGCTTTCTAATTCGATTCTCTGCGGTTCATAGCTTACTTCATATGGAGCTCATGACAATTTGGAGTTCAAAAGGGTGATCGAGAGGCTTTTTGAGCTTCACCTTAAGAAGATCGGCTCTTTGAATATATATGTGGATTTAGAAGGTGGATTGGGGCTGGCAGAATGAGAAAGTTGATGAAAAGTGTGGTTAATAAGCAATTTAAGTTGGATTGATATAAAGAACAAAGTTCATTCATGTGTTCATGATGTAAGATAAGTTGCGTTCTTAAACAATATATATGATGAACAAAATACTAACTTTTAGGAAATATGGGGATGCTCAAAGCTTATATAGAGTGAACAGGTTGTATCATGTCTATGTTTGAGAAGTTTGACTAGTGGCAGGAACATGAACTTGGCTAAATTGTCCATCTTTATTGGTCGGTAAATTTCACATCAACGTAACTAGTTTTGAGTTTCACCAAATTAGTGAATTGTCCATCTCTATTGCTTGGAGTTTGAGTTTCCCTTGAGTAGCTTGAGTTGCATTTCTTCTTTCCTTCTTGTTGGCCCCCAAGTAACAGAGCTTAATTTTGGGCAGGTCGCAGATGTTGCTGGCCTCTGTCTCACACGCCCTGACATCAATGTGGTGAGAAACATTGGCTCTCAAGAACTTCTCAATTCAAAATTCTCTCTCAAACCTATCATGACCTCCAAATTCCATCACCTTATCCAACCTCTTGAGAACATGGATCGAAGAAAGGTACCTTCCAGAGAATACTGCAATCATGCGCGTATCAGATGAGTTTATACTTTGCAAGCTCATGCTTTCTAATTGAATTCTCTGCACTAATGACAGTTTGGAGTTCAGGAGAAGGGTGATCGAGAGGCTTTTTGAGCTTGACCTTAAGAAGATGGGCTCTTTGAATATATATGTGGATTTAGAAGATGGATGGGGTTGGTAGAGTGAGAAAGTCGATGAAAAGTGTGGTTAATAAGCAATTTAAGTTGAATTGAGATAAAAAACAATGTTCATACATGTGTTCATGATGTCATTAGGTTGCATTCTTAGACAGTATATATGATAAAAGAAATATTCAGTGAGGCTATAAGTCCCCATATAGCTACTTCCAACCACGTCCTTCTGGCCTACCCCTTGCCCTTTCAGTTTTAGGAAATACTCACTTCTGAGAAATATGGTAATGCTCAAAGCTTAGATAGAGTGCGAGGGTTATATGGTCTCCATGTTTGGGAAGTTTGACTAGTGGCAGGAACATGAACTTGACTAAATTGTCCATGTTTACTGGCTGGTAAGTTTCACATCAACGTAACTAGTTTGAGTTTCACCGAACTAGTGAATTGTCCATCTCTATTGCTTGGAGATTGAGTTAACCTTGAGTTGCTTGAAGTAGCCTTCTCTTGCACATTTTCTTCTATCCTTCTTGTTGGTCCCCAAGTAACAGAGCTTAATTTTGGGCAGGGTGGCAGATGTTGCTGGACTCTGTCTCACATCCCCTGATGTCAAGCCAACCCCCACCCCGCCACCTCCCTCCTCTCTTTCTCATGTGTATCCATGTGGATTATTTCTAGCAGATGGAGAATTCATAGAAGCAAACCATCAATCCGCTATGCCAGAAAATTTCTTTTGTACATATGAATACCTCAAGGATTCTCTTAAATGCTCAGTTTTCTACAAATGTTCATTGACATGAACAGAATGGATTATTTCTTCAAAACAATGACTTTCTTTTGGTGGGAAGGTCACAAATGGCTGATTTTACATGTTATATGCCTTTGTACCTTGGCTGTAAAACAAAGGTGAGAACAACACTACTAACTCAGCAGTAAGAACAAGTCTCAAAACCACACAAATTGAGAATTTGATGCAGATCAATAATGTGAATAAATTTGAGAATTGATTAATTATTATCATGCATGGAGAAACACAAATTTCTATCATGTTCTCCAACAGTAGATCACTATCCAACCAAAATGGACAACTCTCACCAAATTCATGTTCCTATTACTCATCAGCCATCTCAAACATAGAGGCAACATAACCTGCTCCTTTTGTTTGAGCTTCTAGCACTCTCAACATTGCATATATTTCATTTGTTTGAGAATGCGACCTATCTCTCACCATAAACACATGAATCTGGTTCTTAATCTCAATCCAACTACAACCTGGTTGCTTTATAATCCCTCTCGCTCTCATCAATTTTCTCACTCTACCAGCCTCTCGCCATCTCCCCAAATCAGTGAATATATTAGATAGAAGCACATAATAGCCTGAGTTCTTTGGATCAAGCTCGAAGAGCCTCTCTGCCACCCTTCTACCCAATTCTACATTTCCATGAACTCTACAGGCTGCAAGCAATGACCCCCATAAGATAGAATCGGGAGGCATGGGCATGCTAATTATAAACAGTTCTGCTTCGTTTAAAAGCCCAGCTCTACCCATGAGGTCCACCATGCATGTATAATGATCCTTCGTGGGTACCATGCCGTGCTCTTCGGTCATGGATCGAAAGTACTTCATTCCCTCTTCGACCAGGCCAGCATGGCTACATGCGCATAGAACCCCGATCATGGTAACATGATCTGGCTTCTCTAATGATGAGATCATCCTTTCATAGAGCTTGAGAGCTTCCATACCATGCCCATTCTGAGCATACCCCATGATCATCGCATTCCATGAGATCCTATCTCTCTCTTTCATCATCTCAAATGCTCGAAAAGCATCAATAATGCACCCACACTTTGCATACATATCAACAAGTGAGTTCCCTACAAATATGTCTGAGTCATGGGGCCCGGACTCGAAATGAAACCCTAGCTTGACGACATGGGTGTGAATTTGTCGACCATGTTCTAAGTCAGAGAGATTAGCGCAAGCTCCAAGCACATTGCCAAAGGTGTAGTGTGTTGGCTCGATAGCCTCGCGTTTCATGAGCTTGAAGAGACCAAGGGCGTCCTCTTCTCTCCTGCTCTGTGAATACCCCGCTATAAGAGCATTCCACGATATCACATTCCTTTCAGGCATCTTCTCAAACATAAGATATGCATCCCTGACACTCGAAAGCTTAGCATAACCTGAAACAATAGAAGTCCCCGACACGACATCTCTTACTGGCATCCAATCAAACACACGTCGAGCCTCCTCTACCATTCCGCATTTTGCGTACATATCCACCAAAGCATTTCCTAACACCAAATCGTCGCCATAGCCACACACAATTGAGTGCCCATGCACTTGGGTCCCGCACTTTGCTGAGAGGCCTGCACACGCGCTTGCTAGGCTTGCTAAGGTGACCTCATCAGGGCCGACCGCGACACACATTTTTAAGAACAAAGCCAACGCTTCAACTGCACGATTGTTTTGAACATAGCCTGTAATCAAACTATTCCATGACACCACATTACGCTCTGGCATTGCGTCAAAAACCTGACGAGCATGGTCAACAGCCCCACATTTTGAGTACAAATCTACGAGTGCGCTCCCCATGTAGACATCAGAGTAAAATGGGTTCTTTGCTATGCTCCCATGGATTTGTATGCCTGTTTCTAAAGCCATTAGCCCTGAACATGCACTCAAAATGCTAGCATATGAGAAGAGGTCAGGCTTGAAGCCTTCTTTGCGCATTCTCGTGAAGAACTCTAAGGCTTTGTTGCAAAAATTTTGCTTGGAGAGCCCTGAGATTATGGCATTCCAAGAGACCTCATCAGGTTGAGGCATTGAGTCGAAGAGAGAGAAAGCATTCGTCAAGTCATTCGATTTGGCATAGCCAGTGATCATTGTGTTCCAAGAGAAGGTATTTCTCTGCAGCATTTGATCAAACAGGGAGCGCGCACTATCAATGCTGTGACATTTGGCATATGCATCGATGAGGCGGTTGACAATGAAGACCTCGGTGGAGAACTGAGTTTTGAGGAGTCGAGAGTGGGTGGCTCGGGTGCCACTAATGGACTTCTGGTTGATGCATATTCGCAGGAGGTCAGCGAAGATGGTCGAGTTTGGGGGAGAGGGCGGGTTTCGAGAGAGAATTGTGAGTTGGGAGAGAAGTTCTTTCGAGCAAAAATTCCTCAAACTCATCTCTCAGGTCATGCTTGGGCAGGGGGTGATGAGAGAGAAAAGGTAATGTGACCATGTGGTTCATGAGCAAAGATTGGAGTCCGTTTTCGACGGAAAACCGACAGACCCAAACTATCTCTTGAAGCTCAAGGAAGCTGCCTGCCTTCTTTTGGATTGAAACTCATTACAAATTTCAGATTAACTGTGGCAATAAGTTCTCTCTAACTGAGAACTCCGAGCCTTTCTCTTAGAGAGCAAGAAGCTGAAGATCCCCGCCATTTTTCTGAGAGAGAGAGAGGCATGATGAATGAGGGGGTTTGTTTAAAAACTATTAGCCTCTCTCTCTCTCAAACACGATTTCAGGTCTACTGCAACTCTGCAGGTGACATTAGATAGAAGGTTGGGTTTTGGGGGCATTGGGATTGAAATCTGAATATTGCAGATTAACCACTACCGGACACATTCTTGCGTGAAAAACGAACTAATACATTGCATTGCCGTCTTCTTACAGAAGAGAGAGAGAATCCAGGTATCTTCTTTGAGAGAGAGGATCTTGATTAAGCTTACTTCTCTCTCTCTCTCCACATTTGACTTCTCTCTCTCTCTCCACATTTGACTAGTCTCTGGCACCCCTCTCTCTCTCTACTGAAACTCAGAAACTTCAGCAAAGCTCGCCCTCATGCTCGATCCCTCTCTCTCTCTCTCGCTCTCTCTCTCTGTCTCAAACTTGCAAGCTGGGAGTCCCCGTCATTTTATGTTTTGCCACCTTAATCCCTAACCCTACCCGCCCTTTTCAGGGAAAGGGCAAAATAGTCATTTCGTTCGGGCCTTCCGCTATCGTAGTTTCGAGACCCAACAATATCTTATTTTTTAATCATTTGCTGCAAATGTAATTCACTCTCAAGTCTCAACCAATATTCGTTTATTTTCAATCTCTGAGCCAGTAGAGAGAGAAAGGTCGCGCAATTGTGCGGGTTGCAGAGTAAAAGGGGAGGAGGAATGAGAAGGAGATGAAGAGAGAGAAAGTAGCATCGCTGGTAATGGAGGAGAATCACGAGGAAGAAGCAGAAGAGGCAACTGGCACGAAGAAGAAGAGGAAGATGAAGAAGAAGAGAGAGAAACTAGAAGAGCATCCAGCTCAAGGGGAAACCCTAGCTCAAGAGGAGACGTCACGTGGAAGAACGAAGAGCAAGACAGAGAAGGGGAAATTGAGGGCTCAGGATGAAGCCCTGGAGAGAGGGTTGCACAGAGGAAGTGCAGGAGAGAAGTCCACAGAGAAGAAGAGGAGGGAAAAAGGCAATTTAATGGGTCATCGGGAAACCCCAGAAAGAGAATTGAGGAGTTGCGATACAAAGGGAAAATCCAAAGAGAAGAAGAAGAGAGAGAAAGGGGAACGAGATGCAGTTACAGAGCAGAAGTTTGAAAAGAAGAAGACAGAGAAACACCGAATGCTCGATCAGCTGGAAATCCTAGATAGTGGAACACAGGGAGCAGCTGCGGAGGACGAATCAAGAGAGAAGAGCAAGAGAGAGAAAGGGGGATCTTCGGCTCATGTTGAAACCCTAGCCCGTGAGATTCACAAGGAAGATGAAGAGATGAACGAGAAGAAGAGAAAGAAGAAAGAGAAACGAGAAAGGGAAGCTGGGGAAGAAACCCTTGCTTTGGAGTTGCAGAGAACAGATGCAGAGGACAACTCTGAAACTACGAAGAAGAGAGAGAAAGGTCACATTTTAGAGAAAAATAATAAGAAAAATAGGAGGGGTAAAGAAAAATGTCCAAGCCAAAAGGAAACCCTTCCCTCTGAGAACATTGAAAAGAAGAAGAAGAGAGAGAAAGAAAAATCACCAACTGAAATGGAGGGCTCTGAAAAAAAGAAGGGAGAGAATGGAGAATTTTCAGTTGAATTGGAGACTTTAGACAATGAAATGACAAGACCGACATCAGACAGGAAGAAGAAGAGGAAGATAAAAGAGACAGAGAGAAAAGAGTACTCTGAAACCATATCCAATGAAACACATAGACTGAATGCAGAGGAGGAGATGGATACAGGGCCAATTGAAAGCTTGAGTGAGAAAGACCGAAGATACAACATGGAAGAGAAGATTGAGAAGAAGAAGAAAAAAAGAAGAGAGAGAGAGAAGAATTGAAAAAAAGAAGAGAGAGAGAGAAGAATTAGAAAAAAGAAGAGAGAGAGAGAAGAATAGAAAAAGAAGAGAGAGAGAGAAGAATAGAAAAAGAAGAGAGAGAGAGAAGAATACATAGAAGGAACAAGAAGACGAAAAGTAGAGATTATAGATAGAGTAGATATGATAGAGATACAACAGAAGTGGTACTAGGTTACGAAGGACTAA